TTTTAACTACTATTCGACAGTCTTATAACAAATATGAACAACGAGAGTAGACATACTAAACCTGTAGGCATTAATTATTCCATCGTGATGCGTGTAGTCATTCGTGACTGCGCTACACACTGAAAGCAACCTTCTGATAAGCGTCATAATTCGGTTACAAGAAACGTTAAAGCTCCATAAATGCATATCTTTGCCTAATAACAAAGGCATAAATGTGTTTGGGGGTTTTTCCCCCACGTTATATCAGTTGCACGGAAGTAGCTGGCAACGCAAGTAATCCGGGCGCTGCAGCTTTAAGCAGCTGCGCGCGCTCCCGCGGACGGCAATCACTTTCTGGCAGACAATCACTTTTCGACACAACAGGGGGAAGGGAAGCTGAGATTGGAGGGAGAAACAATCATAAACTGAGGTACTTTTAAAATGCTTCATATCACGTAATATTTTCAGACAGGCCGCGGGACGCAATGTTTCTGCTGCATTTGCCTGAACTTGGAGACAAAAGCAGATATATTCTCGTGTTGCTGTTGGATTTGGGGACAGACCCCCCCTCCATCCCTGTTACAGTTCAGCAGAGCTACTGCTAGCCCGTTAGTTAGCCTGGCAGCTGGCTTTTCGTGTGTCAAAACCTAACTAGGACTGGAGTCCTTAAATGCAGGTGATTGTTTTATATACGAATTAAAATGTTGTGGTGTTTGCCGTAAATTTCGGCGGACTTGCATGCAGTATATGCGCCGTGGCATTCTCCGTTTGAGGTGAAGCTGTAGCTGCGTCTTTGTGCCTGCGGGGTTGCTAGCTGACATAATGCTAGCTTTTCGGTTGCTACAGATAATGGTAGCTGTCAGAGCGGCGGAGCGTTACTGTAGGCAGCTGTCACCTCACTAAGCTGAACTTATTCGCTAGTTTTTTGTTGTTGGTTTTTTTTTGTCGCGGCTGTGTGTTTGATTTCTGTAGTGCTATCCTTTTATTTTAAAATTGCTGTGATTTTTTATTTTTTTTAAACGGATGGGAAAGTGTGCAGAGCTTTTGCTTTAGTAAAAGTAGCAATATTACGCTGTAAAAAAGTAAACAAAAAGAAAGAAGGAAAAAAGAAAAGAGTAGTTAAAGTCATGCATTGAAAATGTTCTTGAGATATAAGTATGAAAACCAGTGCTTGGGAGGAGGTATTTATTTTACACCACGCAATATACTCTGACCCTCCCACACAGAGACAACATTGGAAGAAACAGGGTCTTCATTTCAGGTATTAGATTTTTTTTTTTCACAGCAAAATAATTTGGCCCATCCTAACAGGTAAACGCATAAGTGAACTATTTTTGTTCCAGGTGTTGTGATGTATTGTGACTTAAAGGATACGTGATGAACCTTTGCTTGTTTTATTGTTTTTGATATGATGAGCCAAACGTGCTGGGAAGAACCCATAATTCTGTGTCTTTGTCGCCTGTTGGTTGGTTTTTCTGTTACTTTTGTGTAGCCATTTATTAACTTTGCGTTTTTAAACCACTGCCTTTCACACAGTGTCTCCTGCCATACAACAACTCTTCATGACCCCACATCTCGTTGCACAGCTGGAGTTCGGATGTTCGATGCCATTTCACGTGAGGCCAGAGACGTAGGGCTGCTTCGGTGCTTGTGAATACTGCCTGGGATACTTTGGATTTATCTTAAGTGCCAAAGTGATGAAGTGTCTCGGACAGGGAGAGCCCAGCCCTGAACAGGAATGTCATTATTCAGGTTTCGGGCACCTCTGGAGGGGCTAAAGAGAGCAGGGCTGGTCAGTGGTGGAGAGAAAAGAGGCAGGTTTCCAGGCAACTTGTGTATTGATGGGTAGCCATTTCCTCCAGTCAGCTCTCGTGGACTGATATCTGTAGATTCCTGTCAGCATCCATACTCGTGGTTAGACTGGCATCGAAAACCACACAACTATTGCTCTTGCGTGAATATGATGTTCAAACAACACTTTTTTTTCCTGCCGGCGACACCTTTCTAAAATCGACCAGGTGACTGTGGATGTCGTGTTGTCTACATATATGAGGGGAAAATGATAAACGCATAGATACTTGCAGTAGCTACAAGTGTGTGCAGCTGAAGCCATGGTGGCCCTTGCATCAACTCATCAGCCAATCTCAGTTTATGACTTCAGAAGTCTTTAGAGGCCAGGATCAGAAACAAGTTCAGCAGACAACGCGCTCACATGCAATGGAAGAAGACATTGATGTCGCCTCCCGCATTGAGGTAACCTTATTTGACCTTTGTTTTAATCTCATTCCAGTGTTTAGATTTACAGGAACTTAAAACCATTAAAACCGAAAGCAGCACCTGCCGTGTTGGTCAACAAAACAGAAGTACTGCCGTCTGACCATTGTTGCTACGGAGATTTTTATTGTTCTCAGAGGAATCATTTTTCCCTTCCTGCCCTGCACTTTTGTTTAATGTCACATGATGTGCTTTAAGTCCTTATGTCTTATGTGTTTAACCTAAGGTCTAAGGTCAAGGTCCTTTCTGTTATCAGTGGCAGCTGACAGCGCATTTCCTTTATCCCCAGCTTGGTTTCCTAGCCAAAACATTACCTCTAACTCCCTGGCCTCTTTGCTGTCCTTGTGTACGGTTTCATTTGTAAACAGTTGGATCAGTAAGTGTGTTTGCAATTTCGGTGCAACATAAGTCAGGTTATTGCCATTTTCCCCAGTGGATGTGCACCCTTAAATTATTTTCATAGTTTTTAAGCATAAGTGTGCCTCACACAAGAAGCATCCCAGTAAAAGTGGCATGTTTCCAAGCAGGCCACTTTCAAAAGGATACCTGTTATTTAATTTGGCCTATTATACTAAATATTTCACTGTTTAAATTTTTTTTAAATCATATGTGTATTAGTTTTCAGGAATTGCATATGGCCTCCAGTAATAATGTGTTGCTCTGTCATGGAGGGGGTGAATGCTGCACTGTTTTTACATTGTGTTTTTCTGATGCACCTGTTCTGTGCTGCTGCTGCTCTGCTGTTAGGGTCTAAATGGTTTGTCTCATGAATGTAAACCATTAGAGGAGATAACCAATGGACACTCCAATCATAAGCCTGTGAGTACACTTAAAAATCACTTCTCATTGATTCATTCTCATTAGATTTTGCTTGTGTTGTGTCCTTTTAAAAAAATCTACATATTGTCTTTTTTTTTTTTTTTTTTTTTTTGCTTTATAGATCATGAATGGACTGGTTATTGGTCATAATGTCAAAGACCACACCAATGGCAGCGCACCACTCAGATCTCTGCCGGTAATTAAAGCCTATTGTTACTGTCTGACTTCAAACAGCACGCCACTTCCTTGAATTTAATGTCTCCAAATATTTTATTTTCCAGATTTCAGCATTAAAACAGAATGGTCTTCTGCAAACCCTGGCAGCTGGAGACCAGCCCAAGCCTGAAGGTAACATGAACAACCTTGATTTTTGTCTCACATCCTCTTTTCGTGTGTGTGTGTGCGCGCGTGTGTGCGTCCTAGATACAGAGCAATTATTGCAGGTAACACCTGACCCAAGAGTTATGGTTGCCTGGGTTTAGGAAGCACAGGAGGCACCCTGGAGGGTGCAGGTCTGTTAGACAAGAAGGATTCATGACAGGGGATTGACTGGGTGGACGTCACCATAGCAAAATAGCTCACCCTGTTGGAGTGCTAAGTTAAAGTTGTGAACCAAATGAAGCTGTTTGTTGAATTGGCACGTTTTCTTTCTTCAACTTTGTTTTGTTTACAGATGATAAGGAAAATGTGGAGTTGGAAAAGGCCAGGCAGGAGTGGGAGGCTCTAGAGCACACCCAGCCAGGTCAGATAAATCTTGCCGTTTGTAGGAGAATGATAATGACTTTGCTGATTTTTGGTCTGTTAGTTGATGGTATAATAATATAACTGTAATATTGATCTCCCAGCTCTCACTGAGGACTTTAACCCAACCCCACTTATCCCCTTCAATGAAGCCCTGCAGTACTTTCAGACCACAGACCTTGGGGATTTGCTGGTAAGGAATGCTAAAAACAAAACTGCAAAGAAAGTAGAATGACAAACAGAGGAAATCTGAATTAGATCTTATTCATAAAAATCACTAGTCTTAAGTGTAGTAAATAAAAAAATGTAAAGTATGAGAATGATAATGCATTTGAAAACAAATAAATACATTGTTTTAATGAGTACACTTTTTCAAATTTTTCCTCAATGTCCACCTGCAGAAGAACATCCAGCCAACCATTCGCAGGACTGGTCTGGCTGCGATCACACACTTCCTCTTTGGACCGCCGCGACTTCACAGGGAGCTCCTGGAGGAGAGAGATCTCGTCTTTGCCATTGCACAGTGTGAGTGTGTGTTAGAAGGGTCTGTTTGGTCTAAACATCACACAAGTAGTTAAAACTCCTTAAGTGTTTCCAAAAACAAAAATTGGGTCTTTTGCACATGTGTGTTTTACTTTTCTTTACACAGGCCCTGTTGACAACAGCCAAACGGTCCACATGCGTGTCCTCCAGACCATTTATAAGAAGCTGATTGGCAGCAAGTTGGACTGTCCACGGTATGGCGTACACTGGGAAAGCATTGGCTTTCAGGGTAAGACACTCTCTATTTTGTTGTAAAAAGGTAGTTCTCAATTCATAATTAATAATATGACATCACTCCTGTGCTAACATCATGCTGCTTTGCCTTTATTTACTTTCTTTACTGCAGGTACAGACCCTGCCACTGACCTACGTGGCACTGGATTCCTGGGACTGATGCATACTCTATATTTTGTGATGGACCCAGAGACTCTACCCTTGGCTAGAGACATCTACAAATTATCACAACACCCGACACAGGTGTTACCTGGCAGTAAAATTTACTCTCACAAGGCAGCTTGTTCAAGCCAAAGTGGGAAAATGTGTTCATTTGATTTAATGATTGTCCCTTACTGCTTTAACAATAATTCCTTGTGTTTTTGTCTGTTTTAGAACTTTCCATTTAGTGTGATGTCAATCAACATGACCCGCATCGCTCTGCAAGTACTAAGAGAGGAGGCCTTGTCCAAGTGAGACTCATATTTGTTTTTTGTTTTTTTTAATTATCCCATTTTCAGAAGTGTGTTTGATGGGTGTCACGACACCCTCTGTCCTTTGTGTTTTGTTCATACCAGGGAGTGTAATCGTCGTCAGCAAGTGGTCGGCGTGCTGAACGAATTCTACGTTGCCACGTATCTGCACCTTTATCAACTGTGGAAGACCCAGCAGAAGACCATCGCTGACTCTGGCTTTGTTCTGAAAGGTTGTGCTTATAATCACGCTAATGCTACCTCTTACTTGTGATGCTGCAGTCAGAAGCCAATTGGCACAAAGACTGGAAACCTCAGAAAATTAACCTGCTTTAAAGGGCAAAGTAAAAAAAAAAAAAAAATACAGGTCCAAGGTCAGCCTGTTACAAAGCCTTTTGTCAGATGGCAACCTGTGATTTTTACATTTCTGTTTTCATATCCTTAACACAGATGAGATTATTGAACTTTTTCAATAATTGCTTATTGGTTAGTGAACTGTTTCACACACCGTTGATAGTTTTCCTCTTACCTAAGCTGCAGCTTTTGGCTTCATATTTAGAGACAAATATGTGATTGGTATCATTGTTTGAAAGCAACACTCAGCATCCAAGCAAATATGGGATTTCCCAAATGTCAAGAGTCTTCCTTTAGTCTAAGTTAGGGGTCTATCCATTGAATTCCACACTGGAAAAAACACATATTACCATTCCTCCGCAAATCTCACATTTTCTGTATTTCGTAACCTTCAGAGGTGGAGCTGTTTGCCAAAAAGAACCCCAAGCAGATGCTGCGCCGGCTAGAGGTCTTCCTGAAAGAGAGGCGGGCAGGTGGAATCCCCCGTGGGACGTCACCAGACCCTGTGGCTCAACAGCCTTCTCCCAGCCTGGGGGAGCGAGGGGCCAAAGCTGGCACTGCACAGGCACGCAAGGGAAAGGAGATGCACTTCACAGGAGTGTGTGATCTACCGCCAGACATGGAGGGAGAGGCCAGACTGATCTAAGCTAGACTCTATGCGAGTGTTTCTGTGTGTGTGAGTCTATCTATTACTTTATGTGCGAGTGGCTTACTCGGAGCTAGAAGAAGAGCCCCACAAGACCATGATCTAGAACCTGCTATCTGAACCTTATCAAACACTTCCACTCCTTCCGTTGTTGCTGGGGTGCTGCACTTTGATCAGATTATGCTAGGGGATCTTTCAGAGTTATGTTTGAGTTTTGTTATTAACTTATTTATTAAGCATGGGTGCATAGAACAGATATAAAGAGGTCAGAAACTCAAGATGTCACAAAAACAAAATAAAGTGAATATTTGCACTTTTCTGTGGATTTTGTAGCCAAATCAATAGCTGCCAAATTATTGTGGTTGAAGTCTACCTGTCTAAAAGTACAAAATATACACAATTTTGCTCCAAGGATCTCTTATCCAGGTTATCTAAATGTTATAGAGAAGCATGGCAGAGAGTGTCTTTTTTTTTTTCCCCCCAAAGGCTTGGCATTCTTCTTTGCACCAAAATACTGCTCCGTCACATGCAATGTAACTGAAGAGCAGCGATGACTGGTATGTTGTTAAAGGCTCTGTTGAAATTATGGTAATACAAGATAAAATGAACTAGTCTGAATCCCTGCTTTAGAGAATACAACAGCAGGTTTTCCATTAGTTTGAGTGGGAAGAGGAAGATGGAAAATGTTAATAGATACTGGTTTCACAGCTACACTGTGGGCTTTGAATGCAGCTTACTTTAAAGGTCTGATCACCTTGCATTTGCTGTTGGTGTGAATGGCATATGTCATTTGGACATCAGTCGAAATGTGAGGTTGTAGTCAGTTTTAAGTAGGTGTCTGTTGCCAGAGGTCTAATAGACTAGGTCCAGAGCTCCCACTTAATATGGGGGAATATATTTTAAATAATATATAAAAACATATAAAGTGTATGTGTGTGTTTATCTATTTATATAGATAAACTATATATTAGTCCTTTATTAAGGGACAGCTGTCCCTTTAATCATAACGTTACAGTTGTGTGTCAAAACACTTCAGAATTCTGTTACCAGACTAATGGCTTGGTGATGGTGAGAACGGTTTGAACACTATGAAATTCCACCAGAACAAAATTCTTAAGTCTCTGCTTTTCATGGTTAAAGCAAAGGAGACACTTTGGCTTCAGCTTGGTCCCAGCTGTAGCCGAAGCTCTGGTTTGAGCTTTCTTACATTCCGTTAAAAAGCATGCGATTGTAAATTTTTTTTATTTTTTATTTTATTTTTTGACCAGTTTGAAAATTTATTCCAGTGTGTATGAGTGTGTGTCTGTGTGTGGGTGTGGATGCATGTGTGGTTAAAAACAAATGAGCTGATATTGATGAAGGGCGCCTCTCCCAGGAGATGTATGCTACAGTATGCAATCCCAGCTCTTACTCTAAGATAATCAAAACGCTAGTGCCGTGTGATGATAGAAATCGTTCCTAACTTCAGGGTTTGTGCACTTGTGCAAGCGAATGTGTGTGAGTATGTTTGTATGTGTGTTTCATATGACAGGAACTGACTACAGATGGGGTGCTTTCCTCTGCACACAATAAGCCAGCTTTACTAAGTACTTGATCCATCAAGCTGCATAGATGGTACTTCTGTCATTTTAAAAATGGTTCATAACATTTGTGAAGACAATATTTCTCCTAAAACAAACGACACACAGACACACACAACCTTTGGTTTGCGTTTTTAAATAATCAAATGTTGGTTCCAGGCACAGCTGGTTGCAAGCAGCTCTGTGGGCTGAAATGGGTAGAGCTCCTCAGCAAAGCTGGTTCCTGCTTTGTGCTAATGTGAATCAGTCCTCCATCTTTGTAGTCTCAATCTGTAGCATGTTCAGGTAGCACTAGTACTGTAGCATCCTATAGCCTCCTCCTCTTCGTAAAAGCTTGTTGATGTCGCGTCTCAGTTACAGTCTGTAGTGTTAATGAGTGCGCAAACTGTTATTACTATAGCACATACATTTCTTTCTTTTTTTCCCCTTTTTTTTGCAAAGCCTCCTCGAGTAGATGCACATTTAGGTGGCACAGCGTGTGTTTTGTAGAGATGTGGGCTAGGCTCGATATGTTTCTGAGCTCAAACTTGTCTTCTAAGAAGGTGATAGTAAACCCGGTGCCTACATCCAAGCAGAGCTATGCGGGGCAGAGTGCAGGTTTGTCCTCTTACTTTTGTCTTTCATTCGAGCCATCGTGCCACGGTAGACTTTATTCATTTGTGTGACACAGTACGCAGAGTTAATGTTACCCCTAAAACATGCCATATTAATTAATATATACTGTTAAATGCACAGGCATGTGAGTTTTTCGATGTCGGCATCTATTCAGACAATTGTCCATCGCCAACTTGCATTCTTCTCGTCCACCGTACAACTTCAAAAGTGAGCTGATGTAGTTTTGCCAATTGTTTGCAAGTGTTTTGATCGATCAGGAAAATTTGCACTGTTGTAGATATTTGATAGTATGTGTGACGTATGCAAGAGGAAGCAGGCCATCTTCAATAGCCATATTGTAACGTTCATTATCACCCACATCATGAAAACGGGCTTTGTGAAGTCAGACTCCCCTCCTCGCTTGAAAAAGTTTGCACCATGGTCTCATATTTAGTTTTATTCAATTACAAACTGAGGAGCAGTACAGTGTATGTAAATCAGGAAGTTTGTATATAGAGAATTAATGATTGTAACTGTATGATTGTCTGTAGGGCATTATATCGAAACACACTGCTTACCTCAAGACTTGAGACAAATCTCTCCTTTCTCTCTATTTTTACGTTTCCTTGTATCTAGGCCTTCTCTCATACTAATTGGATATGATATGTAATGTATATCCTCCACCAGAAGCACTACGTAATAGCAAACTAACACAAAAGCTGGTCAGTGTTACGTGTATTCTATTTAAAGACACATTTATCGACGCTATATAGGCCCACGCGCACTCCGATGCACATCTGCAGATAAAATTCCTTTTAAAGACATTCTATAATTGGCTGATGTTTACTTATAATGTTGAAATAAGATCGCTTTCTTGTGGCTTCAGTGATAGTATGGTATACTTTTGCTGTAATTCAGTGTTTTGTGTCAGGAAACACTCAGAAACAATCCTGTTTTTACAGCTCCAGTCACAAACAGTTCAATAAATGATTGTTAAGATACGCTTGATCATCAGTCATAATGCTGAGTGCGCTTTGACTTTGGTGTATTATCACCTATGTGTATATAATAGCCAAACAAGGCCTGATTTTATCCTCCCATGTTAACAAAAGTTGTATTTTCAGCAGTAATAGATCATGTTCTTATGATTTGATCATCATTTGGAGCCGCTTCAGTTGACAAACCAGAACCAAGAGAAACATAAAACGGGTTCTTGCAGGATGTCAGATGCTCTGAGAGGTGAGGTCTGAAGTTCTGCTTCCTACAGCAGCAGCTTGGCAAATACAATCACTTCTCTCAATATCCTGCGCTTTATATGAAGGTGTTTTACTGTTGCTGTCGTCATGTCCCTCAGAGCATTTTATGACTGTACCTTGATTGTAGAAGCCCTATTTTATACTGAGAGTTATTTGAGAATACAGTATGTGCTGTTGTACATTAAATGTATTGTATGGAGAAAGCTAAATAAATGCTGTTTAAAAACTGTTTCTCTGGGAAATCATTGAGTCATCATAACTTCCTCTTAAATCTTATAAATTAAATAAAAAGGTGGCCATCAAGTATGTGGAAAGCTTAACTTTCAGTAAAGATAACCTGCTAAAGTTCAAAGTGAGCATTAGAATGAGGAAGAAAGCTGGTTTAAGTGTCTTTGAGTGTGGTGTGTTTGTTGGTGGCAGACAGGCTGGTCTGAATATTTGTGAAACTGCTGGGATTTTCCCAACACAACTATCTGGAGTTTACAGAGAGTGGTCTGAACAAGAGAAAACATCCAGTAAGTGGCAGTGTTCTTAGGGAAAATGCTTTGTTGATACTAGAGGTTAGAGAAGAATGGCCAGAGTGTTTCAAGCTGAGAGGAAGGCAACAGTGACTGAAATAACCACTCGATACAACCAAAGTATGCAGAAGAGCAACTCTTAATGTGCAGCACATTGAAGCAGAGGGGCTTCATCAGCAGAAGACCATACCGGGGGCTGCTTCTGTCAACCAAGAACAGGAAATTGAAGCTACAAATTACACAGGCTCACCAAAAGCGGACAACAGAAGACTGATAACATGTTGGAAAAAGCATGGAGCCATCCTGCTTTATATCTAACATTTACAGTACTGGTGGTGGTGGAGGTGTAAGGGTGTAGGGGATATTTTCTTCCCACATGTTGGGCTTTTTACTACCGACTGAGCATTGTTTAAATGTCATGGTCTACCCAAGTTTTCTTTTGCTGACCATGTCCATCAGCTGTTCGTATTTACTAAACAGTGATTTCACTGTACTCAAACGACTTCCACAGTCGCCATATTTAAGTCCGATAGAACATTTTATGTATGTGGTGGTTTGTTTTGTTTTTTTTTAAAAGAAACTTTACAGATGGATTAAAAAGGTAATAAATGTATTTATTTTTTAGCAACTAATGAAGTGTTTTGTTTTTTTTCCTGCAACTTTTTCCTCTTTTGCAGAGGTTTTTAACTCTGTTCTTATCTGTACTCTGCAGTGCGTCAGTACATTTTCTGCAGTTCAGCCACTAGAGTGCACACTTTTAACATGCTGCCATAGAGCTACATGACTCACATGGTGTTTCATTTATTGTGGTCCTGCAAAAATAATCTCACGCACAGAGCGAGTCTGCCAAGACTAATCTGTTCAGTTGCATAAGCTGAAGTTTGATCTGTTTTTCCAATTCCTTGTCAGTGTTTTTAGTTTTCAAAACAACATCGGTGAACTCCTATTAAAATTAAACCTGATCTTGATTCATTTTGCCTTTCCAGTGTTTAGTTTTTAGTGAGCCTCATAAGTCCCAGCGCTGCTTCAGTGGGGTGGAATCGGCAGTATTGGCAGGCCCCTCATCTTTCATAAGATAAGCAAATTACTGGCTTGTTTACATGCTGGTGTGTTGAAAATGTAAATCAAACGAAAGAGACTTTTGTACTGAGTTAACAAAGATGCCTCAATGGAATCTTGATACTGGATGCTCTACATCTGCGCCTAATCAGACTTGTGGCTCCAGTCCCACAGTCCCAGATGACTGGGATGTGGTGGATCTGCTGAATCACAGCAGACACACACAGGACGAAAAGAAAAATTCTAAGCCTTTCCCCCCCCCCCTTTTTCTTATGACCTGAATCAAAATCACCCTTCCCTAACCTATTTTCCCTTCCATGCTTACATTAGCAATGTTTTATTGAAGGAGTGATTTCAGCTGAGAGCAACCTAACTGACATGATTCCACTCAGAAACCCTATAAAGGATTAATAATGTGAAACAGAGAACTCAGCCACATATCCAGCATCCTACCGGTGTGTCAAGGCCTCTGGCATCCAAGTCAGAATGACGAGAACAGAGCAGGGTTGACTTTTATGAATCTGTTTCCATTTGTACCTAGTGAGCCTGCTGGATTACAGTCTTTCTCTCTCACTTTCACTCTCGCCTTCCCTCCCCCAACTCTGTTCCTCTCTCTCTCTCTCTCTCTCTCTCTCTCTCTCTCTCTCTCTCTGATGTCATTGTTTCCTGCCCAATAGTTTCTGATGCTCAGTTCAGGTCTGTGTGCACACACATTAAACATAATGCACAGCACTCTGCTTGAAATGCTGACATATAGGAAATTACAGACACGTACAACAGTGATGTCAGCCCCATTTTCAGTCGACTCTGTGCTCTGGTTTCTCTTGTCTGCACTGCAGACATCAAACAATGTGTGCGTACTACCTGTGGCCATGTCACCTTTTGCAGGTTGATTTAAGGCCTTGTAGGGTTGCCTATCTTCTCTTTGTGGTTATCATCCACTGACTTTCCTTCAGAAACTATAGCTGCCAAAAAAAACAAATGCTAGAACTGTTGCATTATCTATAACATCATTCACATCCTTTACACTGTTGTAACATATTAGCTTCCAACAAATAAAATCATTCCATTTGTGCTGTAATAATAACAGCAATAGTAATAACTAAAGTTATCCAGCTCTGTGTTAGTTCCAGCTCAGAAGCCCTGTGCTTGACCTTACTGTAGTCCGAGATTTCTGCAGCATTCTTCACAGCAGTAGTCATATCCCCCATCGATAAGATTGCACAACGCCATAGTTTTCTTAAAATCAAATCCCACGCAGTCTGTTTTCCTTTTCTGCGTCACTGTCCTCTGAGTCTGAGACAGTACGAACTAAATGATTTTAGCAGGTTTTCGTGCACTTGGACGTCTGTACCTGTGTATCTGTCTTGTTCATCACAGTCTGAAACCCATTCAGAGGACATCTCTTCTTTTTCTGCTCCTAAGCAGAGTTTATAGGAGTTCTGCGGGCTTCACGATGCTTTTTACCACATTGCTTAATATCTGGATTCTAAATCTAGAAACTGAAATGATCTAAACTCTTAGCTTAGACTTATTAATGGATCAGTCATTCTTCATTGAGACTAGCTGCAACCTTTTCTACACACCCAGAATTTAAAGGCCCTGACAGGCTCTCCAAACAGTGGACAGAGTAAGAGGAGGATGGGGGATGGTTAAAAAAAAACACAGCAAATGTTAATTCTGTCATCTGCTCAGACAATTCTCTTGCCCAGCGTGTGTATTACTCCAACCCCCCCCCCACCCACCCACCACCCACCCTTTTGTGTAACACAACCTTTTCTCCAGAAAGGAGAAAGAAAAATACGTAACACTCAGAGGAATGAGCGACAGTGCACCACACTGAAGTGATGGAAAGCAGAGATCCCCTTTTTTTTAAGTACCAAAGAAGAATCTATGTTTTACTCCTGCCTGTTTCCCTTTTTTTTTCTCCTCTTCTTCTTTTTTGGAATTCCTCACTCTGAGGATTAGCTTGTGTTTGTCTCAATCCTCCCCCTTTTGCCCATTCTCTCCTCCTCCTCCTCTTCGGCTTGTGGAATTCAATGTCCTAGGAATCACTCCCCTCTCCTGCTGCTTTGTGGTGACTGAGGAATTCAGCCAGAGCCGAGGACGAAGAAAAATTGGCGTTTAACTCCAGGAGGTGCAAACCCTGCAGTCTGGGGCCCTCACCTGCCTTCCTTCATCCTCCCCCTCCAACTCCTGTCTGAGCACTGCACCTGTTCTGACTTGTCGGCCAGGTGGAGGGGATCCTCTAGCCTTGCGCTGTTTTTTCAGCTGACCCTGGCTTCGGGGTAATTAGGAACCCTGTCTATTCATTTGACTGGATTACTGCTTTGCTTTGCATCTTTTCTTTCCGTCTGTCTCTACAACCCACCTCCCTTCCCTCCCTGTGTATCTCTACCCCCCTCCCACTCCATCTCTTGTCTAGAGCAGTCTGAGGCTGGCTGACACTGTGGCTGTGTGGGTATGTGTGGAGTTGCAGAGGTTTCCCTTCTCGAGTAAAAGTGTGGATCACAAGGAAAGAGCACACAAGGGGGCCTAAGGGTGAAATTTAACCTTCTGGCAATTAAACTGGAGTGAGTGTTGAGCGGTTGTACAAACTCCAAACCAAAGGATTGTGCAAGTTGGAAGAGCAGCAGGTATGAAGATCCAGGCTGTGACTGCGTCTGCGGCTCTGCTGGCCCTGTGCTGCCTGCTGATGATCCCTAGAGGAGGAGAGAGCGCCGGGGGAATAGTTTCTCTCCGGCAGGCTGGGGATCAGCTGCGAGACGAATCGCCGGATGACCCAGAAAGAGAGCAAGGACTTGTAGCAGACTTACTCCCAGAGGAGGGTGGCATCAAGACCAAGAGAGAAGCAGAAGCCAACCAGGCAGGTAAGTGGAAGAAATTATATTTTGTACTTCTAAAGCACAGATGTGTTATGCCGACAAGATATCAGAGCTGCTGAGGTACTGCTTGAGTTGTGGCACGACATGGAGCAAATGCAGACACAAACACACAACGATTCGGTCTCTGACAGCTCCAACAGCGTGACAAAGTCCATGTGCTCGTCTGTCCACTCCTGCTTCCCCGCACAAGGGAGCGGGACAGATGAGCTGGTTTAACTCACACCAGACAAGAGAAGAAGACACTGAGTCGAGCATCTTGCAGACAGATTTTTTTATGACGCGTACCTTTTCCACTGCCTCAGTTGCTCAAACCCTGCATGAATAATGCTGACTCTTCTGTACAGTCCCGCTAACACACTTCAAGCAATAAGCCCAGTTTTTGGAGCCATTAAATAAGCTCTTTGATGAGTCTCGCTTATGCTGCTGAGGTGAAAGCAGTACATTTATTGAGTATCTGGACTGATTTTGTATCATTAAAGCTGAACTGTGGTTAATAGAGCACAACTAATGGAAAGAGAGAAACATGGTTTCCATGAAGGTGCCACAGGACTTGAGGAAAAGTCAAAAGGAAATACTGATGGACCTCAAGCAGCCACTGAAATGTAATTGGCAGTCTGGACTTTCCTTGGAAACACTGCAATGTGATGCAGTGAAGAAATAGTTGCATAATCTCAGACCCAAGCCTCATAAAAGAACTAATTGTGTCTTTAGCTTCTGTATGCAAGGAGGAATATGTTTTCATTTCAAAAGATTTTGTGACAGAACCG